AGAAGTCATCATCCGATTGGAACTGGAAAAACTATGGTCCTGAGTGTTTATAAGAGTCGCATTCCCGCTACTGCTCCTTTCAGTCTTCAAGAAGACATTCATCGACCACATTACTCGCCGTCCACTCAGCCTGCAGAATATAGCATTCCTCAAGTCACTCGGCTATCATGTTATCCTCTCAAGTGTTCAACATATTCCGAAAGTCCCACGTCGACGAATCCATACAAAAGGTCGAATGGAGAACATACTACCCTTACGTCAAGTCGTTCCGCAATAATGATGTCATAGAAATCAACATTAATCAGTCTGATGCTTTCGATGCTCTCTATGAGAGTATTTTGCACATTAGCGGAAAACTTACGAGAACTGAAGGTGCTGGCATGTAGCTTTTGTCAATAATGCTGGTGCCTACATGTTTCAATCCATCAGTTATGGTCAGAATGACAAGGAATTGGAAGCAGTGCGCGATGTTGGAACTGTTAGCACCGTTAGAGGTTATTTGTGTTACAGTGATGAAGATACGAAACAATTGGCTATGTCATTGTTTGCTTTCAAACGGGTCACGATCTGACTAAAGTCAATACTGATCCTACGATGTTCAATCACGCATACATAACGAATATCACATCAACTCTTAATGGGAAAATTTATCTAAAGGAAAAGATGCAGTTGGCCTTCGATAAAGGAGCCTTTCCACAGGCGTACTTCAATCAACTATACGCAATTTGGATACACCTATAAAAACACCTCGCTACACACTCCACTCCTGGGTTACCCAGAGTTTGCCAATTCTTTTCATTATCGATTGTTCGCGACGAGATGAAAGTGTCAAAAGTTCCACTGTCGATGTCAAACTTGAGATTGAGGCATCCCAAGGATTTCCCGCCAACACTCGAGCCTATTGTATTATCGTTCACGATAAAATCATTGAGCACCTTCCACTCAGTGAAATTATCAAAAAGTGGAATTGATTCTCGGTTTTACACTCAGTTTGAGTTCGACCAGCATCATGAGAGTAGCTTTTATAGACATCCAGTACTCTACTCTCTACTGGATGATATTTTTCAGGAGAAACTGAGTGACATCGACATCATTAATGTGCGAGGACATCAAAAGAATTACTTTCTGGACGATAAACTACCATTATTAAATGTACATGCGAGAGTTGTGAACTTGGAACGATTCGACAATTCCTGGTACGATGTACCAACTTTCGATCACAACAACACCATCACATCCTGTATGCACCACCTCCGTCGAGAATCCTACAATTGCAGTCTTCGCAACGTTGATATTTTATACAAATGGTTCGATAATATGATAACCAAATGATGTTACTCAATTTCTCAATAAAAATAGCATATTTACTAATGAAAACTGTTGTATTTTTTCTTCTTATTCTCGATTATGCACGTCAGAACGACAATACGTTATCTATCATTAGACATCAGTTGAACACACCTTCAACTGGCCCACGTCCGTATTACGGAGTAACATCCAAATACTTGAACGTCTGGCAAAGATGCGGTGCGCCGCGCACCAAGTATCCGATACTTTTTTGAACGTCTGGCAAGGATGCATCGAAGTGAGTGAAAGCGACCTGCGCACTGGCCGCCAGGCACAGGCATGTTATATCTCCAACTTGAACACAAACATTTACTTGTGGATGTGGCGCAATGGTAGCGCATCGGGCTGACAGTCCGTCGGCTGGGGTTCGATTCCTTGGGCATAGCTCACAGCTTTTTTTATTTAATTATATATAAATTGAATTGGAAAAATGACGTCACCATACGAATATTACATAAATACAAACATCGAGAAGTTAAAATTATCGCCACATCTACAGCGCCACCTAGGAAGTGTTGATCGCGGCTTTGAGCTAGAAACGGCATAGCTCCTCTACTTGTTTTCTTCAACACACCTAGAAGACAATTGGTACTACAAAAACATGTCGAAGCCTTAATGCCCGAATCGCACAGGGATCGATTGAAGCAATTATGCCCAACCAGATCGGTACAAAGACACGATACTGTAAAGGTTTTGGTTCAGCTACTGAGGCCAGTTCATGTTTCGCTACAGAAAATATCTTCATGGAAGGACAAGGATTCCAGTTCAGGAGCATGTATTCTTATAAGTGCACTTGGCCAATCTAATATTATTATTTCTCTTTCATGCTTGACAAAGCTTCTAAGTTTTAGTCTTCCGCTCAGTGAAATTCTTCGGACTAAATATATTGATCTCGTATTTGCAATTATTTATGTTGAAGATGTCTTCTCATCCGTATAAATATTGCGAGAAAATGCTGATAATGAGTTTAGTAAAATGTTTGGAGAAGCTGAGCAGAAAGCAGCAATATTTGGTACGGAGATTAAAATGCCGAGAATATCGGCGAAACGAATGCATAGAAGTAACATACCCAATGGAAGCTGTATAAAGTATTACCAGATATGAATATTTCTGCAATGGATAGATTCTGTTTTATCCAACCTGAATGAGAGGTTTTCAAAACATGAAACGATTCTTGATAATTTTATGGTGCTACTGCCTAACGTAAGATATGTTAATCAGAAGCAAATAGACGATTTCCATAGCTTGGTATCCTTCTATCGCCAAGATGTACAGGAGACAAGTAAGAACGTCTTAAAAGCAGAGCTTCGTTTAGGATACTAAAAATTTATCAAATCTAGTAGTTAATCAATTGACCATCCTTCCATTGCAAAGAGCCCAATTGATGCTATAAACATGAGCAATGTGGATGTTTATCCAAATATTTTTACATTACTTAAAATATTCATTGCCAGTATCAACGGCTACAGCAGAACGAATATTTTCAACTTTGCGAAGGCTTGAATTATATTTCAGAAATATTTACAATGGGAGAAGATAGGCTGAATGTGAAGAAGTACATGCAGATACGAATGAGGTATTAGATATTTTGACAGAGAGAAGACCTAGGAGGCTGGATTTTGTTTTGTAGATTCCCAATTTTATTGCCTAGTTTGTATAGTTGAAAAATAAAAAATGTTCGTTACATTTTCAGCAGCTTGCTTATTTACCTATTTTCATTATGGTCGAAATGCAATTCTTTTAGACACATTGTGCCCCTCCCAGGCCCAAGTCCTGGGTGCTCCAATAAACGTCGTCGGGGGTCGAACCATAAAAAAGGGGTGTAACGAAATATTCGCCTTTTTATTTAATTCCTGTTCGCTGCATTGGTTGGTAACGAATCGCGTACAAAGTCTGCATAGCATTTGGGAGTTGAGTTTGAAGCGCCATCCACCACGAGATAAAGTAGACTACGAAGGAAGGAGCGACCAGGCGGATACAAAGGAAGTAAACTGTGTCTCGCCCATTTGTGTAGTAGGTGCAGCACCATTCATCAGCAGACTCTCGGATGATGAGCGTTTGCCCAACTGAAAGGGATCAGGAAGGCGTTCGGGCCAGGATATAAATTATAATTATCTAAAATGAATTTTTTATACATCGAGGGCTGAATGGCAGGACCTCGTAACCCCCCAAATTAGTGAAATTGAGATTTTTCATGTTCCGCCATCTACTGTATTATAGTGAAACTAAACAAAAAATCCGTTACGCGCGAAATTGAAGAAAACATTACCTCGTATGTGTTTGGCGCCAAACTGCGGTCGCATTACCTCGTAACCGCTCAGTCTGCCATAAGATACTAAAATGTTCAGAGGGACTCCGAAAAAGTATTTGACATTCATGGAAAATTGTTGCTATTATATGTTTGTGCTTTTAATCAGGTGAATTTATGGTCAAGTAATGTATTTCTGAATGATAAAGTTAATTTCTTTCAGTAAGTATTGCATGAAAAATCGTATTTCGTTTATGTAACAGTTACGAGGTCCTTCCAATTCACACCCATTGAAACTCGGATGTTACGAGGTTTTGTTTTCAGTTGATTTCACAATTCAGAGGTGAGTAATATTGTGTTAAAAAATATCCAATTATTTATTAGTATTTTTTGTAGGCTGATTTTCTGTGAACACAAATAAAAATGTCAAGCCGAACGAAAAAAATAATAAATAATGCGCTGGCTATTCAAAGACAGATAGAAGATAAAGAAGATATCCAAAGCATGGCAAGTTCAAGTGATACATTTGGTAAGTGTAATATTCTCAAAGAAGCCCTGAGTTCCGAAGATGTAGCGGAAATGATCCGGGATGCAGTGATAATTCTTGAAGACGGTTTCTGTATTTCCCAGCTGCAACCAAATTCAAGTCCAGAAACTGTTGAGAATACGTCAAAAAAAGAGAGAACAAAACAAAAAACTAAAAATGACTGGAGGAAAATACATTGGGTTTCGAAAACCCAAAAATTGAAACATTTCATGACACTCCCAGGGAAGAGATACGTTCAAAACCACGATGCAATTGCAAAGATTCCTCAAAACAGTGTCTCAAATTCACAGATGATGATAGAAACAATATATTTTCGAAATTTTGGTCGGATATGTTATGGGAGCAACGTAAAGTTTTTGTAGCAACCACAGTTAAAGTATGTAACAGGAAAAGACCCGAAGCAGAAAATTCAAGACGATCAATAACTTTCAGGTATCATTCAATTCACAATAATCACCTTTCAGTTTGCAAATTGATGTATCTCAAAACACCGTGCTTAGAGGAGAGTGGTCTGCACGATCTTGGGCTTCATCCGCAGATAATGGGATGATGAAAAGTGATTCAGTTGTAGTTTCTAAGAGATTACAACTCAAAGATATTTTCAAGGAAGGCCGAGAATTCCTAGAGACATTTCTGACTAACTTGAATAAATTGCCATCCCATTACTGCAGGAAAGACACAGATCAGCTTTATCTAGAGCAAAACTTTCCAGTCATGAAATGATCTATTCAAGATTTACGAAAAACAGTGTAAAGATGAAAATCGCAAAGATCTTTCCTATAAGCTACTGAGGCAGGTAGCAAAAAAAATGAAAATAGCTATTTTTCTCCTCGAAATGATCAGTGTGATCTATGTTTTATGTTCAAGAATGGAAACGTAGCTGAAGAGGACTATAATAAGCACATAGAAGCGAAAAATAAAGCTAGAGCTGAAAAAGAAAGAGACAAAGCACAAGCACTGGAGGGAAAATGTCATGTTATTACAATGGATGTACAATATGTTAAGCTTTTGCCGCAGATTCCGGCAAGTACACTCTATTACAAGACTAAATTGTGCTGTCACAATTTCACAATTTATGATCTTGCTACTAAAGGATGTGTTTGCTTCTGGTATAATGAAACACAGACAGATGGACAGGCCTCAACCTATGCTTCTTTCCTGCTTGATTTCCTTGAAGAAACGTTCCTCAAAGGTAGGGGAAAAAAACCTATCATAATATACTCCGATGGGTGTACTGCACAAAATAGGAATGCAATTTTGGCTAATGCTCTGTTATATTTATCTGAAAAATATAATGTCAAAGTCACTCAAAAGTTCCTTGAGAAAGGTCACACGCAAATGGAGTATGACTCAGTACATAGCACAATAGAGACACGGCTAAAAAATAGAGAAATATACTTACCAAGTGACTATCTGAAAGTAACAATGGAAGCCAGACGAAAGATTTCTATTTCTTCAGAGATTTCAGTAAGGAAGATTTGATCAATATGACCATCCAAAACATCAGTTGTGACCAACATTCGAGCCTTAGAGTATGATCGAGGTGTTATCAAATATAAAATGGACTAACATTATGTTAAGCTGCCCAATCGTCCAAATAAAATTAAAGATTTTGAGCTGACTGAATTTCCTGCCTTATACACCCAGAAAATCAAAATAACGAAAACAAAGTATGACCACCTTCAAGCAATAAGAAACTGTATACCTCAAGATGGTTGGGCATTTTATGACAACCTTCCTTTAAATGCAAAATGATTATTGAACCAATGATTAAACGTTTTCTACCTAGTGATTATAGTTTTCGAAATCAAATAAATGCAATTGTTTATATAATATAATATTGTTCTATGATTCTGTAGTGCTTCGTCGTTTTTTATTTCGATCGATTTCTGTCGGAATATATTTCATTTTCAGTGTTTTTTAATAAAACATTATTCTTCGATTTTATTTGGTTTCTTTATTCGCAGTGCATTTCCTCGTAAATGACAACTTTGTAAACTGCAGTACCTCGTATCCAACACAAATATTTGTTAACATGAAAATCAATCCAAATTTCTATTTACAATATATCTCCTAACTACTTGGAACCCTGAATGGAAAAAAAATAGTCCGAGAAATGTTTTTTCTGGATATTATTAAGTTATTTCGCTCTCCTGCGAAATTCATACTCTAAGAGTTACGAGGTCCTGCCTTTCAGCCCTCGATATTCAAAAAAATAGTGTGATGATTGATTGAATTTATATTTCTCCAAAAATGGAAATATAATTATTTGATATCGAGAAAAATCATCAAGTGACAAAAATATTGATATTAATTGTTCCTTTTTTTTCAGTAAGTACCAATCCCGAATAAAATTTATAAAGATGTAGAAGATGAAATTTTCGATAAACATATGATAATTTTACTAGGAAATGTAGAAGGTTAAATTGAAATGACAAATACATGTAGTGAAACTAGTGTTTCTACGACTAATAGTATACGTCATATTCAATTCTTTTTACCGATTCGAGTGAAACTCATAAAATTCTTGAATTCGACAATGATGAAAATGTAATTGTATTGATTCATCATTTTCATCATCACCTGGAAACTGCTCATCATTCTTCAATAATTCAATTAAATGTTCGTGGGGGCGAAATTGTAATCATGGGGTGACTTTGCTATTAGGAGGAATATTCATTCAACATTTGAAATTACCGCGGAAAGTGATCTGGCGACATCCGCGTTCAACTGTGTTATTAGTACAAGTTTGCCGCACAAACGTGGACTATCTGTTCATGGTAAGTGTTTTTTGACGTATTTTCATAATTCAATGTATTTAAAAAGGTGTTTTAGGTCATTATTTGTGTCTGAATATAACATCATCCTTCTTTGCGATTATGATAAGATTCAATGCATTCTATGTGATAAATGTTGTTTGTGTATCATATAACCTGACAATTGACCGGCAAGCCTGAATCACGAAGCAAACATTTTAAAATAATATTTATCGAGATGGGGTCACTTTGATGATGGTTTCGGGGTGACATTGATAAAGTCATCAAAGTCACCCTCATGTATCAATGTCACCCCATGGTACGACATATAAGTGCATTATTTCTTCTCAATCAATATCTGAAGAGAAAAATGATTCTTTACAATGAAAAATTAGAGCAAGCGCTCTCGAAAGTTGCTGAGGAAGGGGGGTCTATCAGTAAAGCCTCTAAGCAGTATCAGATCGCCTATGGAACCCTATATAACAAATTCAAAGGCTTGCATGGAGGCAGACATGCATGTCAGACAGTATTCGAACCATTCGAAGAAGAGGCTATAATTCAGGCAGCAATCACTTGTGGCGAAAGGGAATTCCCTCTCAACATGCAAGACTTACAAATGGTTACCAAATCATACTGGGATCGGGAAGGTCGGAACAACATGCCTGGGCGAGACTGGGTATACTCACTCCTACAGAGACATCGAAATAACCTCACTCAGCGTTTGGCTTCAAACATCAAACGTGCTCGGGCTGCCGTCAGCAAAGAAACAATCACTGAGTATTTCACAAATTTGGAAACAACCATTGCTAATATACCGCCTGCCAACCTTTCTAATTATGATGAGACAAATATGTCTGATGATTCCGGCAAAAAACGTTTGTTGTATGAAAGGGGCAAAAAGTATCCTGAAAAGGTAATCAATCAAAGTAAATCTGCTGTATCTGTTATGTTCTGCGGTTCGGCCCCGGGTGTCTTGCCCCATTCCGAACATATGTGGGATCGCTGAACGGAAAATGGCATCAGAGGACATTTATTGTTGTCCAGAGCGAGGGTTGTGTATATACACAAATCGGGTACGGCGAATCATTCCCTACCCAAATCCTTCCGACCGATCAGCCTTACCTCGTTCCTATTAAAAACTCTAGAAAGAATTCTAGACAGGCATATTAGAGAGGGGAATCTAAGGGAGCATCCCCTAAATCCCCATCAATATGCCTACCAAACAGGCAAATCAACGGATTTAGCACTGAACAATCTTGTAGGAAAGATCAGCCATTCCTTAGATCATAAGGAAATTGCGCTGGCAGCCTTCCTAGACATAGAAGGAGCGTTCAATAACGCCCTACCACAATCACTCTACATGGCAATGCAAGGTAGAGGAATCAGCAGGCAAATATGCAACTGGATCAAAACCATGATTGGAAATCGGTACGTCATATCATCACTGCATGGAGGGTCGATCAGGTTCAGAGCGGCAAAAGGTTGTCCACAGGGCGGGGTACTTTCTCCCCTTATTTGGTCATTTTTGGTTGACTCTCTGCTGAGCGATCTCTCCATGCAGGGGGTGGATTTCCAATGCTATGCAGATGATCTCGTCCTAAAAGTAAGAGGGAAATTTGAAGCGACGATCTCAAACGGCCTACAAGAAGCCCTCAATACTGTGTACAGGTGGTGCGAGAGGGAGCAGATGTCTGTGAACCCCCGGAAAACTGTAATTATCCCTTTTACCAAAAGGCAAAAGCTAGATAAGCTTCGTCAGCCTGTCCTATACGGAGAGAGCATTCCGTTTGCGACGGAGGTGAAATATCTAGGGGTCACCCTAGATAAAAGACTCACCTGGAACGCCCATATGGCAAAAACTATTAACAAAGCCAGATTTTCCCTCTGGAACCTCAGAAGGGTATGCGGCAAATCATGGGGAATGAACCCCAAACAGATTTACTGGATTTACCAAACAATGGTAAAACCAATGGTCACGTATGGCTCGGTAGTCTGGTGGACCAAAGGTCTGCAGGGAACAGCCAGGGCAAAGCTTGCTGGTCTCCAGCGGCTGGCGTGCCTGGCCATTACAGGGGCGATGTCCTCTACTCCAACGGCAGCGATGGAAAACCTCCTCAACCTCACTCCCCTCCACATTGTCTTGGAGAGGGAAGCCAGGATGGTTTCCTACAGATTCCTGTCATTGGAAAATCAAATCAGAGGGGGGCGACTGCTGGACCACTCCGGGATACTGTGTGAAACAAAAAATCACCAAACTCTAGGAATGGTTTCCGACATGTTGGCCACTCAGACACACGTGAAAAAGTCTTTCAAAGTCCTCTTCCCGAAGAGAGACGAATGGGCAAGCGGATCAGTCCGATTCCCAGAGACCGAACACGTAATGTACACAGATGGTTCGAAAACCCCTCGTGGAGTGGGAGCCGGTGTGTTCAGCAGAAAACCGAAGACGGAAATTTCCGTCAATCTCGGCAAATATGCTACAATCTTTCAGGCGGAGGTATTCGCAATTGAATTGTGTGCTAGAGAGTTGTCGAATAAACCTCTAGTAAACAAAAATATCAGTATTGTATCAGATAGTCAGGCTGCTCTTAAAGCACTGAGCTCCAGCAAGATAAATTCCAAGCTTGTATGGAGCTGCATTGAATCCCTAGAAAGCCTGGGTGCTAACAACAGAGTCACTTTGCTGTGGGTGCCTGGACACCAGGGGGTGGAGGGTAACGAGAAAGCCGACATCCTCGCCAAACAGGGAACCGAATCTGTGTTCATAGGACCAGAACCATATTTTGGGGTCACCGCAAGTGCGGCGAAAACAACTATCTCGGGCTGGGCGGAGGGAAAAACACTCACGTACTGGTCCGAATTACCAGGATTAACCCATTCGAAGGCGTTCCTGCCTAAACCATCGGAAAAAATAACCAGGCAGATCCTAGAATGGAGCAGGGGTAACCTGCGAATTCTGACTGGACTGCTTACGGGACACTGTCGTCTGAGATACCACCTGGGAAGGATGGGTCTGAACCAACAAACGGACTGTCGGTTCTGTTGTGTGGAAGACGAAACGGCTGAACACATATTATGCTCATGCTCTAGCTTAGAAAGACTAAGGTTCGACACATTTGGCTTTACCAACCTAGAACCTATCGATTTCAGACAAATCTCACCCAATTCAACCATGAACTTTGTAAAAAAATGTGGATTGTACGGTGAACTGTAACCTCTAGGGGTGAGCCACAATAGACCCATCTGGGGTCGCAGTGGAGGGGAGGTGTTCGCCCCACTCACATGGAACCTAACCTAACCTAACCTGTCCAGAGCGATGTTGCAGTCTCGCTACAACGGAACAAAAAATAGGTGGATAGATGCATCTGGCTTCAGATTGGTTCAAAACTTTCTTTTTATCTCATGCAATACGTCTTGATGGTGAAAAAGTTTCGATAGGCGACAACTTGAGTTCTCACTTCACCAACGAAGTTTTGCAGCTTTGTCAACAACACAACATTCAATTTGTTTGCTTACCACCAAACTCGACACATCTCACACAACCGCTAGATGTGTCGTTCTTTCGTTCATTGAAGACGGCTTGGCGGTCAGAATTACTCAATGGGAAAATGAAAAATGCAAAATCACCGTCACTGAAGAAATAAGTTTCCAAAGCTACTCAAGAACGCACTGGTTGTGATGAATAAAGCAGGTAAAAACGAAGACGCAGTAAACAAAATTTAATAAGTGGGTTTGAAGCCACATGAATATTTCCTGCAAATCGAAACAGAATATTGGATGAAAATCCACATGACAACAATGACGAAAATAGGCGACCACTAAGATTCTTTGGTCACGTTCTCGAAAGAAAAACGATACGCTAATACCCCTAGTAGGGGACCACCGAAAAAGATAAGTCGTTCAACTGTTGTCCCAGGAAGGAGCGTACCGGGCAAAAGATCATCAGATGAATCGCAACATGAATCAGAGGAGGTTTCTGATTCAAGCGCAGATCATTCTGAACAGGAAATGGCACATGAAGAAGTTGACGAAGAGGTGGGGTACGAGGTAGCTGATGCGGATATTACATCTGGTGAATTTGTTCTAGTCTGCGTTATGTCCGGTGAAAGAAAGTCTGTCAGTTATCGATACGTAGCCATCGTTCAAGATGTCTTGCCGGACGACGAATATAATTTACTGGGACTGAAATCGTTGGATGCTACTGAAAAAACATTTGTGGGGGTCGAGAATGATCTGTTCACGGCAACCCTCGATGCTATCTTGGCGATTTTGTCTAAGCCTTTGCTTAATATAAAACATCTTAGAGGCCCCAGAACACAACATGTTTCGTCCAAGAACATCGACGTCTTTGAAACCTGAGAAGTTACCTACCTACGCATTGTCTGCTTTGTTTTTGTATTTCTTCTGAAATTATCAGAGTTTTCTTTATGTTACTTACCCATTTATTTTTTCAAGAATAAACAATTATTCCTACATGTTTACCTATTTCATCACCGCAACTCCCACATCATCAACAATAGCATGAAATGAACAATGAATAACGATATTGGTCGATTGTTGCGAAAAGTTATAGTCTGAAAATGTAAATACATTTCACAAACGGGTGACTTTAATAAGACTATACTACTCAATGAGTTATCAAAGTCATCCATATGCGATGAAAATGGATTTAAAAAAAAAACTAGATGAAAGCTGACAAGGGGGAAATTGATAAGTAGTTTTCAACTAAGATTGATGACAATGTATTTTGGAAGGTATATCAAAGTCACGCCAAATTGGGTATAGCTTTGATTGGACATTATGAGTTTTTCTTCTGCGGAACAAATCTGAACTACGAGATGACAACTACACAATAGCTTCAGAACGATAGCTACAATATTCAATCAATTTTTTCCTTATTGATTTCTCCAGTAAGTAATGACGTATCAATGACATGAAATATAATAAAACTTATCATTGCCAACCAATTTCACGGTATTCCAATACTTGGAAATGTGGTGGACAACGTAGATAACGATCAAGAAGAATTCACCATCCAAAATATCCAAGGATACTTGATGAATACTACCCTTGAAACACCGATGGGAGGAGATTGTCGTTTTAGGAGGAGATTTTCAACAGCTTTCATTTCATTCTTGTTCGCTGCATTGGATGGGAACGAATCGCGTACAAAGTCTGCATAGCATTTGGGAGTTGAGTTTAAAGCGCCGTCCAACACGAGATAAAGTAGACTACGTAGGAAGGAGCGACCGGACGCAAACAAAGGAAGTATACCGTGTCTCGCCCATTTGTGGGGTAGGTGCAGCACCGTTCATCAGCAGACTCGCGGCTGATGGGCGTTTGCCCAACTGAAAGGGATCAGGAAGGCGTTCGGGCCAGGATATAAATTATAATTATATAGAATGAATTTTTTATTTATTCATATACTACTGTGATTATCGATTGAATTTATATTTCTTCAAAAATGAAAATATAATTATTTTTTATAGAAAAAAATAATAATTGTTCCTCTCCTTTTCTTTTTAGTATGTACCAATCCAGAATAAAATGGATGAAAATGGAAAAAATGACATTTTGGATAAACATTTGATAATTTTACTCGGAAACTTAGAAGGTGAAATTGAATTGACAAATACATGTAGTGAAAGTAGTATTCCTACGACCAATAGTATTCGTCATATCCAATCTAATCTTTCTACCGATTCGAGTGAAACTAGTGAAATTTTTGAATTTGACAATGATGAAAATTTAATTGTATTGAATCATCAGTTTCATCATAACCTGGAAACAGCTGATCATTCTTCAATAATTTAATTGAATGATCGTGATCGACGTGAATCAACATGATCGTGATATGGTCGACAACGGAATGTTGATCATGACAAAAAATTTGATAATTCATATTTTCACGTTGATGCCGGGGTCCTTATACAGAATTGAACGTGAATGGCGGGCGTGTAATTGTTGTTTCTTTCTCAAAACGACTTTACCATATTGATAGAAAATATAATTTTTTTGAGTGACAAGGCACATTAGATGCAAAAATAATGAATTTCCAATAGTTTTTCTTGATAATTTAATAGCGATCTACCGGTGGGTCGCGCCGGGGTATAACCAGAATTATCGTTGATGGGCGGGGCGACACGTAGGTGTGTCGCTGATGCGCATATCTGTAATGCGTCTGTAGTTGATTTGCAGTTCGCCTGAAGCATATACTCACGAAATAGCAATTTATGCTGAAAGAAGTGAAGCAATTACAGGCAAAGGACGCAAGATATTTCAATGGAAACAATGGCTAATCTGCTCAATGAAGAAAGAGTCCTTTATTGCGATGTTTACACAAGTATACCTCTTGCAGAAGAATTGTTATCAGAAAAGACATTTATCTGCGGAACTCTGTGGATGAATAGAAGAGGGATCCCAATGGATTTCAAAGAAAAAAATTGAAGCGGGGTGGTATTTTCTCATTAGTAAATAAAAAGGGAGTAAAAATAAAGAAGTGAGTCGACAAAAGGCCAGTGATGATGTTAAGCACTTGCAAGAATCATAAATGCAAAATTATCGAGACAGGAAGAAACTTATAGGGATTGAGAACCAATGAAGAAACCAGACGTAATATTGAGCTATAATCAAACAACAAAAGGTGTGGATATGTCGGACAAAATGGCTTCTTATTATAGTACTTCACGTAAAACAATAAAATTGTATAAGAAAGTCGCATTGGAAATTATATTTGGTCCAATGGTGGTGAATGCATGGGTGATGCAGAAGAAATTTGGAACAGACAATTCTGTGACAATTCTTCAGTTTCGAGAAAGTGAAGTGAGCATTCTGTTGACTAATACTACCACCCAAACAATAAAACCGCCTAGCGAACTCCATACTTTAGTACGAAAGCTCTGAAGGAACATGGTGAGATATTTTTTCAAAAAATATCTCCCACATTTGATGTCCCTTCGGGGCTGCTAAAGTGAAATGTAAAATAATTTTTAAAAAATATCTCACATGTTGTTGTATATATCCAAATGCAATACTTTGTATAATGACTGTTATAGATATCTAAATACGATACTTTGTATAATGATATAATCATGGATGACAAGTTGACATGTGATGGGAATTCTGATAAAAGTAGTTAGCTGGAAAAAGGTTGATGTTCAATTTTATAATAAATAAATAAAGATACGATTTAGAACTGACTACAGTATTCTTCTGAATCTGATTTTCATCTCCAAACATTTATTCAATATGGTGTCAGAAGTTTGGAAGTATCTATAAAAATGCTGCAGACAGAAAGAATCAATCCCCAAGAGAAAATGATGTACCAAAGTTCGGTAGCACACATGGACATAAACGGAAATCTATCATCAAACTGGACTAAATGGTTCCAATCCTTCGAAATATTCCTGATAGCAAGTGGATTCAACTCCGAAACAGATGAAAGAAAAGTCGCTATGCTATTACATTTTATTGGACCACAAGGTATGGACATTTTCAATTCATTCAACATGGAAAGGTCTACAGTAAAATTCAAAGACCTTATTGAAAGGTTCAAAAGCCATTTCGTACCTAAAACAAACCTCATTATGGCTAGATATAAATTTTTAACAAGACATCAAGGTCAAGAAGAAATCGAAGCATTTCTTACTGAACTAAAAAACCTCGCAAATGTTTGTGATTTTGGTAACCTGAAAGAATCTCTCATCAAAGATATATTCATTTGCAACATGAATAAACGGCATCTGAAAATAAAGGAAAAGTTACTGGAGAAAGAACAATCCCTGGATGAAGCTGTTAATACTGCAAGCAATGATTCTTTCTCAAGAAAATGTAGAGAGACTGGAAAACAATGATATTCTTCAAGTAAATAAATCCATTCATCAATTCAACTATCAACGTAACAGAAGACAGTTTCACAACGTCAACCAGACAAACAGCCATGACAGGAACTTCAAGAACGACAAAAATCACTTCAGAAATCCATCAGAATGCAGGATTCCGAAATCTACTGATACTTTAAGCCAAAGCAAGTCCAATCAAGCAATTTGCGGAAGATGTGGACAGATTCATCGATTCAAATGCCCAGCCGCGTTAGTTAGATGTAATTTATGTAAAAAGGTGGGTCATTATCCAAAGTATTGTTTTAAAAAGAAAACAAATCTTGTAGAAATTCTGGATACAACTGAAACATCTACTTCAGATTCAAATTTTTTCATAGGATCAGTAGTGAATCAAGTGAATAATCATTCTTCATGGCAAATTAGAATAAAAATCAATAATACTTTTCTTACTTGCATTTTAGACAGTGGAGCTGCTGTAAATGTTATGTCTTTCAATATTTTCAAAAAATTGAAATTAGATAGCTCTATTATGAATGAAACCTCAACAAAATTGTCAGGATTTGGTGGAAATGAAATAAATATGTTAGGAGAAGCTTTAATTTTGTGCGATATTAATGAACAGATACATGAAATTAACTTCTTTATTGTAAATTGTCATTGCACAACTTTATTTGGACTAGAAACTTGTAAAAAAATGAATCTACTTCAGAAAGGTTACAGTATAAATGAAATCTCTTATGATTCTTTCCTAGACTCTTTCATAAAAAATTATAATGATGTTTTTGAAGGTTTAGGATGTCTTCCACATAAATATGAGATAGTTCTCAGACCAGAAATACCCGCAGTTATAGATCCTCCGAGGAAAGTACCACTATCACTACATGAAAGGCTGAAAAATGAACTTGATGATATGGTAAAACAAAAAGTGATCGAGAAGGTGACACATCCAACTAAATGGGTAAGTTCTATGGTTGTAGTAGAGAAACCTTCAGGTAAATTAAGAATCTGTCTTGATCCTAGAAAGCTTAACGAAGCAATTATGCGATCACATTATCCACTGCCTTCTATTGAACAAATTCGATATAAACTTCAAGGTTCAAAAATATTTTCTCATTTAGATGCTAGTTCCGGATTTTGGCAAATTCCTCTAGAAGAATCTAGTACTGATTTAACTACTTTCCAAACATTTATTCAATATAAGCAAAACAAAAATATAATGTCAAAATACTATAACAGGGATGTTAAAAGTTTGAACGATCTCAGTCCAAATGATTCGGTTTTATTCAAGAAATACCCAAATTCAAAATCATGGTCTAAAGCTATTGTTCTTGATAAAGTGAAAAATGTTCCTAGGTCATATTTACTCAAATTTGAAGGAGGAATATACAGAAGAAATAGAAAATTCATTAGGTTAGATAAAAGTAACCTTCCTGGAGAAACATCTGTATTTTTTCCAAATAAAAATTCTACTCAACCATCTGATGACAATTTATCGTCAACTTCTTCAGGTATAGCAAG